ATTAACAAATTAATTAATCGATGAGTTGTGTTTATGTATGACAGAGAATTTTACATTAGTTATAGGTTGAATTTTTCTTTTCAGAGCATCTTTCTAGAAAGAATTTTATATAGATTTTTTTTTAGAGTATTGGCTTTAGAATATTAAATCTAAATAATCTAAAGAACTTCGCAATGTATTTTCAAATGGATTCTCTTTTCTTTTTTTTATCCTTTTTTTTTGTAATTGACAACTTTTTTTTGCACAGTGCCTTAAGTGAGAAAGGTTAATTTGTGTAGGTGGTCGAAGCATTGGTTGAAGGTGTTGATTAAAGGTTGTTGTGGAGTAGGTTAACTTTGTGAATACAACAATATTGAGGTATTATTCTTGATATTCTATGTTGTACTTCTTCATTTGAGTTTTGATTATTGTAGTACATTTTTTAAATTGGGGATTAATTTTTCTTTTATATGAATTGCTAAAGTGTATCGAAAATCGGGTTGTTTCTTTTAAGCTTAATTTAATGGCCTTGACTTTCTTGATTTAATGCATGTGTTTTAAGGTTTCTTGGAATTCTATACAGGAATGTGTGTATTGGATGTTCCAATCTATCGTATTGTGCTTTTTTGAATTGATTTTTGTGATTAATTGTTTGTATTTATGATTGATTTTGAATTTTTGATTTTTTGTGTAAAATATTTATTGAAGGAGACGTCCAAGTTACAGTTAAAAGAGACGTCCAAGTCTTCTAATTTTACTTTTCTAAGTTCTTTTATCTATATATTCAATTGTAATTTTGATTATGCTATTGATTGTATGAATTGAAGTGGGTATATGACAGTTGTTAAAACATAAGCAAGTTGTGGGCCTAACATTAGTTTGTTCCTTTTGTGTAGATTTTTATCCTATGCCCAAATTTGTGCCAGCGTGTGGTTTTGGCACTCTATTCCCCACTGTGGACTACTCTCAAGCAGCAGATCGATCATTGGGACAATTAAAATAGAACCAATGCTTCTGCAACTGTCTCTCAGGTACTCTAACGTCGCAGTCTCTCATGCTTCGAATATTGGGTATTTGCTCATTACCATGAATTGTGTCAGACAAAAGCTTCTCAAGCTTACACACCGCTAAGCATTTATTATCTTAATGTTCTTATTTTTTTGGTTCATTTTTTTATTGTATTTAGTTCAACTTTGAATATTATGAAACACGTGTAATATGTTTTGTTGGTCAAGCTGATTGTAATATGTTTCAATAGGAATACAACATGCTTTGATCATTAATTTATTTTCATATATAAACATTAATCTCAATGACTATTTATCATTGACATAAATCATAGTTTGTAGAGTTCATTAATTTTTGGTGAGTTTGATTTATGATAACTTTGTGATTCTATTATGTTTTCAATTTTAAGTCTTGAGTCCATTCATCAATTATGTTTTCACATTACACAACACGCACGACACACACAAAACGTACAACACACACACACATACAAGATGTTTGGCCAAATGCCCCAAAAACAACACTTAGCGGACACACACTCACACAACATGTGTAATTAGCATTTTATAGGTTGTCTATATTTCTTGAGGTCCTATTTTGAGGAGAATCTTTCAAATGTTGTCAAAATTGTGTAAAAGAACAAAAAGATGTTATGATTAAATATTGACTATTTTTTTATTCAGCATAATGCATTCATGAGAATATTCATATTGCTAATACTTGGTTGAGAAGGTATGAAAAGTGTGGGTGTGTTAAGGATGCAATTTAGGTTTTCAGTTTAGGTAGTGTCCATGTTCAGGGTTTGATTTTTGTTGAGTGCACAATCAATGTTGGATTTTTTTAAGAATTGTATGATACCTTTAGGCACATGTTATCGCTATCTATAATAATAAAACACAACCTAAATTGAATTAGTTAGAACTTAGAAATACTTAGACGCCATTACTCACACATGCATTTGTATGCATGTGATGATATACAATATTTGTTTTTCTTCATTCATTGTGTTCAAGATCAATGGTCACTTTTTTTGAATTACATCATGCTTTCAAATACAGGTTAAAGTTCATTCCAATAAGACATTTGTGTGGTGGTAACTCCTAGCTTCAACGAAGATGATGTTGAAGGAAGTTTTTTCTATTTTTGTGCATGTGTGTTTTTTGTGTGCAGTTTGCAATTGTTTTATTTGTTCCATGTTTAGTATGACAAACTAATTACATATGGTTATGAAGACTTGTTTGGTTTTGATGTGAATTTGATGGTTGGGTATGGAATTGAATTGTGATGTATGATGATTGTGGTGGAAATAGAATTGAATTGTGGTGGTACGGGACATTATTATGATTGTTATATATGATTGTAAGTGTTGTAGACATGTTGACATCTTCTTGGACTCCTATTTTTAGAGGAAGTTATGCCGAAATTTCTGAAAAATTAGTTGGGACTAGATTGATTTCAATTTATTTAATTGAAACAAATGATGTAAAAATTATTTCAAATTGATGATTTATTTTAGGTTGCAAAGTGTCTTTAGCCACGGTAGTGTTCTTCAAGATTTAATTCAATTTTTCGTTATCTCGTGCTTTCAGACACGGATAATTACTAGCACATATATATGAGAGAACGATAGAGGAGCCCTAATTATGAAAGATCAAAAAATAAAGGAGATTTGCATTTATTTGAATTTTGAAATGCATATATTATATGTATATTATTAGATTTTATATTCTTATTTAAATAAGAATAAATGAGCTTTTTGAAATAGATTTGTATTGTAAGACTCAAAAAAAAGTGCTTGTATCTTGTCATTTAAAAATACACAACATAGAACCGACCACAAAAAAAAAAAAAAAAAAAACAATAATGTTTATGTGTCACATTGCATATGCCATTACGATTGGAAGAAAGGTGTAAATTCAAATAAGAAAAATAAAATTAAAGTTAAATTAAATTACATTCAAATTTTTTCTTTAAAATATCATGAAGTTATAATTTATTATTTTAGGCACATAGAAATATATTAGTAGATTTTGAAACGATGACTAATGATTAATTTATTTAAGTCGGCACAAAAAACACAGAATGGAAAAAAAAGAGAATTGATGCATAATGTGTGGCGTCCTTTTTTGGACCTTAAAATGTCCAGAGTCATCATCTCACAAATTCCAATCGGACGGTCGAGAATCCACCAACTACCCCAAGTAAAAAACATAGCAAAAAAGAAAAATGAACTATACTACATTGAAAAGGTAAATATTGTATTAGTCCCTAAACTTTATCTTTAGTTTAATTTAGTCTATAAAATTTTAATTATTCCAATTTAATCCCTCAATTATCAATTTTATTGCAATTAAATTTTTTTATCTATCTCTACCGTTAGATCAACATAAGAGTAGTCCAATTTCATTCATTTCAAGCATTAAATCATATTTTTCTGTTTTGATCTAATGGTAAAAATGAACAAAAGAATTTAATTAAGATAAATTAATAATTGAGAGACTAAATTGCAATAAGTAAAACTTAAGGAACTAAATTAAAACCGTAAAAAAAATTTAGGGACTAACTATAATATTTACTAAAAAAATAATTAAAGACAAACTTCACTTCAACCCCTATGTTATGTCCCAAATACACTTTACCTCCCTGTCATTTATAAATCTGACATAACCCTCACATGCTTATTGGTCTAAAGTGCAAGCCTCACACCGTTAATGGCGAAGTTGAAATGTCCTCATTTGCCCTCAGATTTATGTGTTGCCCTAATGCACTCCAACCCTTCATTCTCCCATCGTTAGAGGTTGTGTAGAGAAAGGAATGAATTTAGGGGAAAATCTAGTGTTACTCACACACCTAATAGTAGTCTTCAATACACCTTAGATTAGGGATTGTTCTACTTGTAGACTAGCAAATCTGAATGCAGTTGTCCTTGTATTGCTCGCCCTCATCGAAGAACCAGTGTGTAATTGATAGAATCCTGTGAACCACACCCATTAATTAGTAACATATTTTTCAGGAAAACAAAAGTGGTTTAGCTTGAGGTATACCTGGTTTCTTTTTCCTTTCCCTTCCTTTTTTCCTTTTCCGTTGACTTTTTTTATGGCAGGCAAGATCTATTTATCATAAATATGAAAGTGTTTGGGCAACTTAGTCATTTGCTGTTAAGATTTTTGGAGGGTAACAACATTTGAGCATAGCCAGTTTTATCGGAGCATCTCCAACGTTGACTTAAATGTAAACTCAAATTTAAATTTGAGTCAAAATAGTTCAAAAAACTTCTCCAACTTTAGATTCAAACTAATACCAAATTAAGGCAAAATTTATTCTGGACCAAATTAAAACAGACTCAAATTTTATACCAAATTTCTAACGATAACTTTTTTAACCTATCCAAAACTAGAAGACATCTTGGACGATTTGTTCTCTGCCACTTCTTGCCTCTCTCTACTAAACTGCTTCCATCGCCGACTTCCACCAAAGCTTTCACAAATCATTTGAAGGCCTATAGGTAAATTTTTTCCTTTTCATCTTTTATCTTCTTGTTTTCTTGTATTTTTCAAAACTCTAATCTCTCCCATCTGTCATCCTATATTAACCCTAAACATACCCATCAATTTTTTCTTTGATTTTTTCGAGTTAAAAACTATATGTAGTAAAATTGTATGCCCTTGATTCTTCTTAAAATCTAGCAACTTTTGAATCTTTCTTGCCAAGCAACTTCATTCGGGTCCTCCAGTAAAGGGGGTAACATAGCATCTACTAGCACAGGAAGTCGCTATCCAACTGCAGGTTGGTTTCAACGCACTTAGTCATCTTGTAAGAAGCTGCTGCTTGGCTAAACCACTCGCTGTTTGCAGTGCTCAATGTCAGTCATGTATTCTGTGTGGGCTCAAAGTTCCCCCTCCTGTTTGGAGGGAGGTGCCCTCTGATCCTGCTTGGGGTTTATTCCCTTCACTCGCTGCCCATTTGAACAATCAGCAGGCAAATTTATTGTAGAATGAAGATCCAGCTTGACTCTAAGGACGAGGCAACTCAAAATGGGTGTTGGTGACTTCGATTTTGATGTGCTTTTCTGTGCTACAATAACTATCGAACAACGATCCATCTGAAGCATAACGCTTGTATATCCCTAGGTGTGGGTCTACATTCTCCCCTATTATAGAAGGGCGAGGTTTGGAATCTTCAAGCAATACATGATCTGCACAATAAGACATTATAGCACCTAGAGATACAGGTACGGTTCATCATGCTACTTATCCAAGAGTGTTGCCGGATAGTTGGATATGTCGTACTCTGATTTTGTTGAGGTTAGGAGCCCTTTGCTGTTACCAACATTCCTCATTATTAGGTAATTCATCCCCTTTTATTGATTTTAGGGTTAGGGTGACACGTTGTCGCTTTCGCTTTAATAATTAATGATATGGAGTCATGTGCTCAAGGCCGTCTCTTGTCCCCCTACCTGTGGGAAATTCACTCCCGAATCGTTGCTCTGCTACGTCTAGCTCGTCCTCTACACACCTTTGGAAGGCAGGGAGTGTGACAAAGTACATGCTTCCTTTGACTCCATAGGGCCTTCTCATCAGTTGTAGGGTTTGGTGGCCCGAAATTGATTTGGCTTCGCCAAAAGGCATCATTTCTAAAAGTTCATCTCGCGAGGCATCCCTTTCGCAGTAGGGGCGTATTCCACTATGGGTGTAATGGGGAGAGGAACTCTTTTTCCAAAAGAGGGATTGGTAGTGAAAGTTTTCCCAAAAGATTAGGAAACTCAATCACTCCTGTTGAAGTCTTAGGTCTAGCATGTTGCACCCATCAAAGACAGAGAAAAATAAGATCTATTAGACCCATATTAGTAAATGATCAAATTACCACCCTTCCTTTCCAAGGAGTTTAAAAATACTATGATGGCTCCGTTGCTTTATATATTTATAATTTTTTTTGTCTGTGATTCAGCAATCCCAAAGTTTCTTTTTGAGCTTATCAAATAAAATAAGGATTAGTTATAACTAATGAGGCATCCCTACACTTTCATCTGTAAAGGTCGAAGTTAAGACGAAATCAAGAGAATCGACCATTCAAGTATTCTAAATTGCATCGAAAAAATGAGTGTAAGAGAGACATATATATGTGGTATATATTCATTTATATTGAATTGCAGATACAAAAATCATAGAATGGTTTTAAAAAAGAGGATCCAATTGACATAGCTCAGTTGTTGAAAAGAAAGAAACCCATAGTTCATCATAGATAAGCAAGTGTCTTGCTCGATTATAAATCACGAAAAAAGAAAGAGCTAAGCACTTGTAAATTTCTTCTAGTCTCCCCCCGGTCATCAAGGGCGACAGCCCGCACAATGAGCTCTTCCTGTTCATCAAACAACACGCTCTTCTTGACTCCAATCAAACCATGCAAAGAGTTAGATCTTCACTGCAGGAGTGCATAATTCCACTAGACCTAATATTCAGCAATTATTTAGGTTGCCATCAGGCCAACTTCCAGTGAGGTACCTTGGAGTTCCAGTTATATCTACTAAGCTAAGAGGGGTAGATTGCAGAAGTCTTGTAGATAGGGTTTGAAGTGCAAAAAAGGCCTAGCTGTAAGTACTTCCTTGGTATCAAACAAAAAGTGAACTTTAGTTTAATTCTTTTTGCTCTAAGTATACATGTTGAAAGCCAGTGATTACAGACAAAGAAGTATATGCTCAAGCCCGCAATAAAAAGAGTTTGGGGAGTCCCTGATGAAACGGAATTAAACTTAGGTGGAACCCTCCTTCTTTAGTGCCAACCCGGGGATGCAATAGAGATGCCCCTGTCAAGTGACTCAAATCGTATCTGAATTTGTTTTAATGACAGAAAGGTAACCCCAAAGATAAGTAGTTTGCTACGTTGAACGTAACTATATGTTCTCCACCTTGAACTGAATGTATAATGGTCAAGTAGGGCACGTGGATTAGCCAGGGTCTTCTAGAGAATAAAAAGAACAATTCGAAATGAATAATAGATGGTTTTCACATCCAACTATAATAATGAGTAACCTCTTCATTTTTTTTCTACCTACAAATTTAAAAAAAATGTCATTTTATTTCTTAAATCTTTCATTTTTGTTAAAAACTATGTTTTTGTGTTCTTCAAACGAGGTCTATGTCAAAATAGTTATATTTTTTTTCTTTATTTGAATTTATAAAAAATGATAAAGGATTAGAACAATCTTAAAATTCTGGGATGATGTCTTTATCCCATGTAGTGTTGTGTACACGTTCATTTTTTTTAAATTACCTATTTGTGGAGAGATATAAAAGTTTCATTTATTTTATCAAATATCATGATTTGAATGACACAAAAAAAAGAGAGTTTTGGGACAATAAGGAAAATTTTTAAAAGATTTAAGTATATATTTGAGTTTATCCATTTGAGTACTCTATACCAAATCAAGTTTTTTATTCAAATTTAGACTCAAATTTGAGTCTAAATTTAATTCATGGTTGGAGATGCTCACTGTCGCATGGGAGACACCTTCTATTATCTTGGATGAAATTTCTAACTTAACCTCAAGGGGATAGGTCAAGTGTTAATAGAGACGAACCACAAATTTAAACATTTTGAATTCAAATCTTAGCTACTCATAGGGGCTAGTTTTGACTACTCATCGGAGTTGGGCCACACAGAATTTATCATTTACGAATATCTTAGTTCCAGTGTGAATGACCTGCCTTTAACCGAATTATAGAGAAGATTAGTTAAAATAGACATAAATTTATTCGAGTATCCCTAACTATTAAACAAATAATAAATATGAAATTCCTAACTTTGCACTTTAGTCTAATAAGCACGGGGGTTACGTGGAAATTTATAAATAACGGAGAGAAAAAGTGCATTTAGATATATTAAAATTTGCCCAAAAACTGATAGTACAAAAAATCCAAAAAAAAAAAAAAACAATTAGAAAACAGGGAATCCCCAACTCAACACACCCGCTCTCTCTGACCCAAAAAACAAAAAAAACACACCCGCTCTCTAATGGAACCCAATCAAAGCCGTGGTGGACTTGGCTCTTACTACCACTTCCAACAACCACCACCGCCACCACTACGACAACCACAACCGCAACCACAACCACAACCACAACCACCACCACAACCACCACCACCCCACCTCAACCCCAACCCCAACCCCAACCCCACCACCACCACCACCTCTGCCACCAACACTTCCCCCACAAATGGAATTCTACCAAACACCACAGACAGGGGTTCTCACACGCTGTCTTACTCTCACTCTGTCACCTCGGCGGTAGCCTCGCCATTAGAGACCCTGCGGAGGAAGAGAGGGAGACCCAGAAAGTACGGCACGCCGGAGCAAGCTGCGGCGGCAAAGAGACTTTCCTCTTCGGCGTCAGCTTCCATGCCGATTTTGCCGCCCAAGAAGAAGGACCAACCCTTAGGCGGTGGAGGTGGTGTTTCTTCTTCCAAAAAATCCCAGTTGGCTGCTCTTGGTGGTATCTCACTCTGAACCCTTCTTTTTAGACTTTTTTCCCTCGTCAAATTATATGTAAATGATGGAGGTTATGATGTGTGAAGCCATATAATTATATAAAGCAGTGTGTTAAACACTTGGAACCCTTTGTTTGTTTAGCTGTTTTTATTGAAAATTTATTGGATTCAAGTGGGTTAAGTGCTTTTGTGGTCGGATGGGACAATTAGGGAGGGTTTTGGTATAGACCCTTTTAAAGCACTGGATATACAGTTCGTGTTATGGAATACTCTGATTTCTCAAAAGATTTTATTTGTTTTTTTCATCTTTTTGATTGAACTGGTTGTGTGGAAGAGGGTTGTCTTGCATTTGATTTGCATATCACAATGCGGGAAGTGTTTGTATTGATCGTTTAAAGAATTACATATGTGCATTATGTCATGGACTAGGTGGGTATTTTTGCAATTTATTAAGATTTTCAATGTCCTTTTGGTGAACTGTTTATGTTTGAGAAGGCTTTGGTGAAGTTGTGAATATCCATTTGATGATTTGGGAGCAAATGTGTACAGGGGATTTCTTGATTAGCAGTAGATATGAAGTATTTTGCAATGTTTTGCATATACATTTGGTCATTTACGTCACCATATGATGAAGTCTGATATCAGCTTGAATCTATAATCTTTATGTTCATGAGACCGTGGACTTGTCATGTCTTTCTGCTTCAGGTTTTTTCAAATGAACAGGGATTGGGGTATTTTTGTTTACATCTCATCTAGCAATTGGGGAAGCATGGTCGACATGCTAAGTCTATTTTGTTGGTGTTTCTCGATCTGTGGTGTCTCCAGTTTCCCAATTCTTACTTGTAGTTGTATGACCTGTAAATCTTGTAATTTCAAAACTCTTGGTAGGCTTACTTGGTTGGAGTTTAAAGCTAATTAAGATCCTATGTGGTGGTGGAAATTTATCTTTCTGAATTCCAATGACATACCTCTGTGAATATCATCTCTATCAGTGTGCTTCCTAGCCTATTTTCAGATTGATTTCACTATTTCACGTTAATATTCCAAATCATGTAGATATTTTGTCTTGAGCAAGTTTCTAAAATTCTCCTATATTTTCCAATAGATTTGTGTCTTATGACTCAAGTTCTATTTATCTAATTTCTTCTTGTTGATATGATTGCTTAAAACTTTTTTTGTCATCAATAATTTCTGAGATTCTATCAGTAGTCAGTTTGGTGAGTAGATCATATCTGGTTACTTACTTGGTGGTCATCTTTCTACTTGTTGCAGGCAGTGTGGCACAAGGTTTTACACCGCATATTATAAATGTGGCTGCTGGAGAGGTAGGCTTACACATACACTTTTCTCAAAAAATGTAATTCATTTTCCCTGTTTCTTATTGTTTTACAAGTTCATGCCTGAATTGTCTTCCTTTTTCTTATCATTTTTTTTGGGTTGGGGGGAAGGAGGGGCTTCAAGAATCCAGTATTTATCCAAAATATGTTCTTACACATATAACATGCGGTGCATAATAAGCATTTTGAGTTGTTGCTTTGATACACACACACACACACATGTGCACACATATATTAGTTATTCTTCAATTCTTCTTTTCATTTGTTTTTTTCTTAGGTTTTTTTTCCTCGTATTCATTTTCTCTCCCTATATTGGTGGTAATATGGCATATATTCAATCGAAGAGTGATTGTAGTAAAAGAGGATTGTGGGCCCAAACTAAAGCATTGCATTTGCTGACTCATTTGAAGTTGACTAACTATACATTCTTTATGTGTCATTTGTGTTGTGTATTACTCATGGAAGTTAGTAATTTTACCCTCGGTCTTGTTATTTGGGTGTCAACCAAACATGGTCTTAGTATTCACCAAATTTATGTTTGGATATGGTTTCCATTCAATTTCCTCTTGAACAGGGAGAATTCACACAAAACAATTTTAAATGTGAGTTTGGAATGGCCAAGCTCGGAAACTATGAAATTGAAATTAAGCCGAAAACAAAAAACCAACTTGTGAGATATATTCACATGTTCTAGGAATGCCCTGTCATTTTTTTACGGCATTTACTTATCATGAAGAAGGGGAGTAGCGGTTAATTATGTATCTTCTGGGGAAAACGGCCATGATACTTGGAAAAATTGGTAATTTTTATTTTTTGACCTTTGGCTGAAAATGCAATGGGAGTTCAAATTCAAATTGGATATCCAAACAAGCTGAAATCATATCTTTAGAACCTTGCTCCAAACCTGACCTTGGATTGATAGAAGTTTACTGTCTTCAGCTGGTTTTTTTGTAAGCTTAGCAAGATCTAATGCCATAAAATTTGTTCAAACGAACATGCAATCATTGGGATTAAATTATATCCACCTAAAAGTACGAGGGGAACAACTACTACAATCAGATAGTCAACATCAGGGGCAAATTAGTAATTCTTATGCTCTTGCAGAACTATATGCATTGTGTTCAACGTTTCATAATTACATGTATAAGAATAGGAAAGTAAGAGCTAGAAACATAATGGGGAACACCATGCTTCATGTAATTCAGAGCGGACACTCCCTATGCTAACGGAATTGAGTTTTGGGCAACATAAAAGAATAAGATTAAACACCAAAGGCCGGCATGCCCGAGGGATATCGCTGGTGACCATTGCTCCGAGGCAACTAAAGCCAACTACTTCTAAATGATCATGCAGAGTTGATTTATAGAACTTGTGAAAAAAGCGATATAAATAATGAAAATAAGTCTTCCCCATCATGAAGACTTGCCCAAGGTTTGCATATATTATCCTGTGTCGAATGGGCTTTATATTTATTTGATGTGTATGGGATGTCACAATATAAATTCAATTTCATGTATTGTTAGTGTTATCCACTTTGAATGATATTGGAAGTTTGCAGACTTGGCGGGTCTATAACTTTTGGCAGGTTTACAACTTTTGGATGTTGATTTGCTTGGCAAGTGGATGTCACGTTTGGCTCCATCACTGGATGGAGCTTGTAGATGATTTGTTATAATTGTGATAATTGTGGAGCTGGGCATCTCATGCAACCTGCCTTTCAGGGCTCATTAATTTGTAGTGATTTCTAGTAGCCCATTTAGAATAAGGTGAGTGAATAAGATGAAACCAATTATCAGGAAGAAGGAAATGATCCCTTTATTGTTTTTTTATACCTTGCATTATGATTCTTAACTAATCGGGCATGGCATGATTCATAACAATAATCAGGTTTGCTATGATTCATAACAGTAATTAAGTAAGCTATGAAGATACTCAGGTTTCAAGAAGACAATTGGAGTAAGATTGTAATGTATAGATCTTTTAATGCAAATTTTCAATTGAAAACAAGTTCTGACTTGGCTGGTTTTGCAAATAGGATGCAATAAATTCGGAGAAATTGGCTTATACAAAGTTTAAGCAAGCTTCCAAAAGGTTCCAATCAGCAGTGATTGAAATTTTTTATTTTCATTATGAGGTTCTCATGTTCCTTCTAACTAACAAGACCTTTAAATGCATCAGATTTTAATAGATGCTTATCTAATAATTCTGAATCAAGTTAGAATACTAATCCCGAGTCAAGTTAGAGCAGTAAAAAGTCCTTAATCTTGACTGTGGTGGGGGCAAGGGACAAAATTTGAAATTTAGACATCAATGGTAGTCCTCACTGGCATGCTCAAAGAGTAGAACAGTTGGTTGCTTGCTTGTTCGCTGTTCCTTGACAGTTCATGTTCGGGTTAGTTTCTTGATGTTATTGCTGCTTCTTTGTTGGCTTTATATTAGGCAGTGACACCAGCATGTCTTACCCGTATCGAAATGAGAACTTGTTACATTTTTCAAGGGTGTCGAAATCATAACTTGGAATGTATTACAATGGTTGGTAGGATTTTCATTTTCAGACTGAAATGTGATATATCCTTAGGACTGTACTGTTAGAGCCTAGAGGTACTGATCAGTCCTCATTCTGTTTTGGCTCTTCTGATGGAACTTCATCTTATATGGTAACTGTCAGTCTATGGAGTTATTGGTAACCGTACCAGGCTATGGTGTTGAAATCATAACTGGGGATGTATTCAGTGGTTTGCATAATTTTTATTTCAGATATAGGACTGTACTGCTATATGCACCAATCACTTCTCATTATGTCCTGGCTTTTTGGTGGGAATTCATGGTGTATGGTAATTGTACCATGGCACGGTGTTATATCATCCCACTTTTTAGTTCTCATTTGTAATTGAAAAACCTTGATAGTTGAACTTTCAGCATGTTCATATTTATAGCCACACTTCAATTTAGTCTGATTTTGTAGCTGAAGCTATTTCAGTCTTTTACTTTTGAAAATTATGGATAGAGTGTGTAAAGTGGCTTCTTGACATTCTTCTTCCCTTTTGTGGATATAACGTTTTAAGTGTTCCTGTCATTGATTTTCCTCCCTATTTGGCTTGCTAAGATCTGTTGTTGAGCAAACTTGTGAATCTCCTGGTCTTTGATGTTATCGAAATTTTGAATCGCTACCAACATGTATGGTTACTTTTGACAGGATGTGGGTCAGAAAATCATGTTGTACATGCAACAAAGCAAGCATGAAATATGTATTCTCTCAGCATCTGGTTCAATTTCTAATGCATCTCTGCGCCAGCCAGCCACATCTGGAGGCAACATTACATATGAGGTAGAAATTTATGAGTTTTTTCAGGTGAAATTTGTTTAGAACCGGCTTCATCGAGGAAGAAAAATTTTAAAACTAGAAATAATATTTAGAAGAGAAAATAAGGAAAAGAATGTTTTCTAGTTTTTTTATATCCTTCTATTTTTCTATCCTTTTTCTGTCCATGAATGTTTTCTTTATTTTCTATCCTAGTGTTCCTTTATATGTCATATGTGGCATTTCAACTGGTTGCCCGTTGTCATGCATCCTTTTTCACATGGTAATCTTTTCTTCCTACGTGGAAGCCCATTTAAGCAGAAAAATGTGCTGATCTCAAAGAAAATTCCAGATTAAACTTGTTCTCCTCAAAATATAGGACAGAGTTCTTCGTTTCGTGGTTTGAAGCATTACAGGATCAACCCCGACAGGATACCATATATACTCCTAGCAAATTATTATATCAGATTACTCATGGACATGTCTATCATAAATTTGGGACATTCCTATTCCTTGCATATATATGCCACATGACTCGGTGTGTACCAACATAGATTTGGATGAATACCAAACCCAAGTGTGATAGAGTGGACTGCCACAGTAAAACAATGACCCCTTAACTGTTTTGTTTTCTGTTTTTTTGAGCAGAAGAGGGATGTAACAAGCCACAGTAGTCTGCAGTAATCCATCTTTCTGGATTTAAGATGACTGATTCTCAATTTTGCTCGTGGATAGCAAATCTTAAAAGCTGGTATCATTGAAGTTATTTCACATGTTTGGTTCTTAGGACATTTGGAGATGATTATATGGCGAGGTCAAACTAGGTTTACTGTCAGGCATGTATTCTGGTCGCTTAAATCTTTTAAACATGACACTCTGTAGAACCCTAGTTGCAGACACTCAAAATCTTGGACCACCTTACTCCATACATACTATTAAAAGCAGAGAACATTACACTGAGAATCAACCTATCTTTATGTGTATGCTATGGTTGTTCAAGAACGGAAAATTCTCAGAACTTGGTAATACACGCTAGAGGATGCAATTGTTTTTTTTTTTTTGGGATAAGAAACAAAACTTTCAGTAAATAGAATCCAAAAAGGAAAGTCACATTAATAAAAACAATAAAATCCAATTTGCCCCCTAGAACTCCCCTAGCTACATGCAACTACCCAATCAATACTGAGAAAGTATAAAGGCACATCCTTGAACTCTTTTGTTGTTGAAGCCCACAGGGACGCCAAAGACTTCGTTTATCCCAATGAAACTCCATCTTTTCTTCTCTTGCTTTGAAGATTCTGTTATTTCTTTCCAACCACACCACCAATAAAATTGCCATAACTAAACATTCCGATAAAATGGATGCCTTACTATTCTTCCCAAATACCCATAGTTTGTCTCCAAAAGAGAGGAACGTCCTCTTAGAAAAACCCAACAAAATCTAGATTCCCAATGCAACTTAGGAATTGATCAGTTGGCAGGTTTTTAACTCTACAGAAACTGGCTTGATTGGGCCAGATTTTAAGTCTACAAACACATGCTGGCAGCTATCATGCAGATTGTTTACAGAATCTTGATAGGGTTAATAAGATAAGGAGCTGTATCCATGACTCTCTTAGTCCTTGTGCTTTTTGTGGATGAAATTATATGAAGAAAGAGGGTAATTAATTATTCAAATGGGAAAGAGCTTAGCTTCTAAGGAAAAGGGGGGGGGGGGGGGGGGTGTTTGGGAGTGACTAGAGTAGGACCCGGCATCCTTAAGTTCCCCACCAAGTTCTGTATAGTTAGGGATGCCCTTCAATAAAATACTTTCTTAATGCTTAAGCGATAGTGAGCAGACAGGCTGTTTATGAATCTAGTTGTGTCTGCTGTCGTTATTGATTGGTTATAGACCTTTTAAGGGTCTAAGAACCTGTTGGCAACTGTGTTGATTGGTTATAGCTTACACACATTTTGTCCACCATCAGTCTAATGATTGTTCAATGGTTGCTTTGATGTCAGGGACGATTTGACATCCTTTCACTCTCTGGATCATATGTGCGTACTGAGCTTGGAGGGAGAACTGGAGGGCTCAGTGTATGTCTGTCTTGTACTGATGGCCAAATCATAGGAGGTGGAGTTGGCGGACCCCTGATGGCTGCGGGCCCTGTTCAGGTAGCATTTGTATTGCACTCTAAACTGAAACTGATGTATCCTAGAACTTCAATTCATTGATCTCTTTCAAGATAAAATCTACTACAAAATGCTGAAAGCGGCACAGGCCGCAAAGACTTTGGGGATTACAATCTTCCATAATGATGACTTTTTGGTGCGCGTGTGTATACAGACGAGTGTGCTTTACTCTTTGGGTGTGCTAGTGTGTGTGCATGTGCATATCAGAGAGAGGGAGAGAGCTCCTCAAAGAACTAATTGCGCCATTATGGTGTTTTTGGTGCACGAGTATCATTAAACAACTATATATGCCATTCCATTCATTCTCAGTGAATTGAGTATCATCATGGCTCCAAGTAGATATTATTGGCTAATGGAAGATCTTTGCCGTTGTTTACAGCTTATTTTCGTCGCTTGTGTTAGCCTATTTGTACACCTTCTAATTCTATAGCTTACCAGTGGATTGTATCCACAGGTTATAGTTGGTACTTTTCTAATTAACATAAAGAAGGATATGGCTGCTGATGCAAAAGGTGATCCTTCTGCAAGTAAGTTGTTATCTCCAGTTGGTGGGCTGTCATTTTCAAGTGTAGGTTGCCAATCTGAAGTTGATTCTCCTGGAAGTCAATTCATGTTTCAACCTCGCGGCGTGCAGGTGACACCCTCATGGTCAACTGATTGGAGGGCTTGCACAGATACCAGAAGCAACGCTGGTTTTGAGGTGACAGGTATACCTGCCATGGGCACATATGTGTGTGTAGTTTTTTTTTTGGGGTGGGGGGGGGGGGGGTTGTGGTGGTTATGTGGATGTCTAGGGTCAGCCCATAGGCAAGGCCACTGAAATGGGTGCGTAGGGTCCTCACGTAAGAAGGCCCCAAATGATAGAAATGAGGGCTCAAAAATTAGAAGATCCGATGAATGGTTAAGAATTATCTTTACAGGGGGCCAAAAGACTTACGAATAAAAACGCCCAGAAATGCAAAGCTGAACAACTACAAGGAGTCACAGTTGCCTCTCTGTTCATTAAAGCTATTTCTCAAGGTTGCCAAGAAAACTTTAGGTGTCTATAAGTGTGCCAAAACACTCTCTCCATTAATACCATAGAAAGTAATAGCATACATGCCATGGAACATTATCGTTGTCATGCCCCCTTCTCTATCTCCTATGTATGCATATTTATTCCAATTTTTTTCTCTCAATCATGTGCTGACATGGAATCAATTGGAGGAATTATTGAATTCTTTCTTTAATTAATATAATTTGCTTATTTTTATATTTGTGCTGATGTGATTCATCTAATTCAATTTTTTTTCAGAGATTATACGACTTCAGATGTAGAAATCATAAAAAAAGAAAAAAGAAAAATAGGCGACTCATTCAATCTCAAAAAATAGTCCTAGATTCTTTTCCAAATGCTTGTGTTGCATATTGAATATCATTGATAATATACGTAATAATTATTTCTTTTTTTTTTTTTCAAATTAAAGCTCAAAAAGTCTATCTTGCTATATCAGCTGTTCACAAAAAAATTGAATTGGTCATATTATTAAAACCTAAATATAAAAACATAGTAATTTTGTATTACAAAAAGTAAAAAAAAAGCCTAATTTTAAATATATATATATTTTTTGAACAAGAATTTTAAATAAGTTATACTAGATGTATTTATATTGAATTTCAAAAGGGCCCCGACTAAAATCTTCGCCTAGGGCCATAATTTATATTGGGCTGGCCCTGTGTACGTCTATCTTGGAGAGAGGAGAGAGATTTTGAAAGGTTATATTCTCGTTTTGCAGGAAGGAAAGGTCATGGAGCACAGCAATCTCTGGAAAATGGGAAATTATGGGCCGATTCTTGATTAGAGTATAGGTCTGTTGCTATGAAAGTGCTGTTCTGTCACATATTTATCTATACCACAGGTTTTTTGAGAAATAGATGTGCACAATCTGAGAGTGTAGTATGATGCCCTGTACAGGATACCAACAATCTCTCCTCTTTGGCAGCTGATACTATTGCAATATGCACCATGCATAACCAATGATTGTTGCTTCCCGTTCATTTCGATCATCTTCTCTCCTTGCATTTTGATTTTTGTCACAGGAGAGTTTGCTAGTTTCTAAAATCAATTTCCCAACTCCCTTGATTTTCAGACTTAACTTCATTTTTTTTATTGTACTTTCAAACTTATTTCCTAATCTAATGTAGTTTTTGTAGTAGCCTAGTTTAAACGTGCCTTTTTACTATCAAAGTGTTTACTGAAATATGCTTTTAAGGTCCAATGAAAGCGTTTTTTGCAAGTACACTTTTATATTGAAAAGCGTGGGTTTAAACAACACTTCTATGGATTACAGTAGATTAGCAAGTAATTTTGAAAGCACATGGCAGTTAATTTTGAAAATCACGGTATTACGGTAAAACTCTCATAGTTGTTATTGTACATGCCAGGATACCAGGGAGTAGATTGTGCACTAGTGCTATCTGGATATATAATGTATTGTGATCATTGAATTGATAATGAAGTGTATTTAATGTTGGGATCCATTGATAATCTAATGATTGCAATTATTACGCCTCAAAATTATGCCCAAATAGCATTGTTGGTATCTTATGGATAATTGACCAGAATATCATGACGGTAGATGTTTTACTTGTTGAACAATTTAAAGAAATACTAGAGATAAGAAAAGAGGAGGTTAGAGTTTTATTGATATTGCATAATTCAATTGAATACAAGGAAGTAAAATTAACCTAAATACAAATAGATTATATATAAGTTAAACAAGACAGGAAAGTAAAAGACTATTCTACCTTTAATAAATAAAATAATCTTATATTTCTTAATATCTCTCATCAAGCTCACGATACAGCAGCGACAAGCATCGAGAGTTTGCCAACTAGAAAACGAAAAAGGGAAATAAAATACGACTTGGTAAAAAAATCTGCAATCTGCAAAGAAGAAGAAACAAAGGGTAAAGTAATGGTGCCATGCTTGAGATGATGACGAGTAAGATGACAATTGATCTCAATGTGTTTAGTTTATTTATGAAAAATTGAGTTGTGAGCAATCTGAATAGAACTTCGGTTGTCACAATACATAGGAGTGAGATGAGAAAGAGAAATTCCCATATCTGCAAGTAACCAACGTAACCAAACAATCTCTTTGGTAGTAGATGCCATAACACGATATTCTATTTCGGTTGAAGATTGAAAAATAATAGATTGTTTCTTGCTCTTCCAAGAAATAAGAGAATCACCCAAAAAGATACAAAACCAGTAACAGATTTGCAATCTGTGGGATCACTGCCATGATCAGCATCAGAGTATACACACAACTCCAAGGAAGAGGTGGATGGAAGTAAAAGACTCTGAAAAACTGTACCTCGAAGATACCTCAAAATACGAAGAACCGCTGCCCAATGAACTGTAGTAGGAGAAGCAACAAACTGACTAACAACATGAACAACAAATGCAATATCTGGACGAGTAATAGTGAGATATACCAAGCTCCCAACAATAGTACGGTATAAAGTAGGATCTGACAAAGGTAAACCATCAGAAGAAGAATACTTTACGTTAACCTCAATGGGAGTATCTACAGTCTTATTATCAGTAAGTCTAGCTCGCTCAAGAATATCTGCAACATATTTCGACTGAGAAAGAAGATAACCTCTGGGTGAGCAAGCTACCTCAATACCCAAGAAATATCATAGAGAACCTAAATCATTCATTTCAAACTATCTAGCTAACTCTGTCTTCAAAACTAAAATACCATTAATATCATCATCAGTAATAATTATGTCATCAACATATAAAGACAGAATGATACGACCTGCATTAGTGCACTTAATAAAAAGAGCAGAATCATGACTACTAGAAGTAAACCCAAGGGAAGAGATCACAACAGAAAATTTCTCAAACCAAGCACGAGGTGTTTGTTTGAGACCATATAACGCTTTCTTGAGCTTGCAAACATACCCAGAATCATGTGAAACACCTAGAGGGGGAGCCATTTAAACTTCTTATTGAAGATCCCCATTCAAGAATGCATTTTTAACATCAAGTTGAGAGATATGCCACTGACGAACCGAAGCAACTGCAATAAGAGTACGAATAATAGTCATTTTTGCAATAGGAGCAAATGTCTCCTCATAATCCATACCATACTGTTGAGAGTACCCTTTTGCAACCAACCTAGCTTTGTATCGCTTAACAGATCCATCAGAATTGGTCTTAATCTTATACACCCAACGACAACCAACAACACTCTTACCAGGAGGTAGAGGAACCAAATCCCAAGTACCTGTCTTGTGCAAAGCAGAAAATTCTCATCCATAGCTTGCTGCCAAAGAGAGTCAAGAATTGCCTCTTTATAGGAAGAGGGCTCAGAGAGACAATGAATAGAAGCTAAAAAAGAAGTAAAAGATGAAAAATAACAAGAATAAGTAAAATTTGGTAACTTTGTGGACTTACGAATGCGTGTGGATTGACGTAGAGGTGGATCCACAATCTCAGACGGAGCTTGAGGGACCATAGGAGAGGAGGTAGTTTCAGGTGTGCTAGAGAGTAAAGTGTCAATACTGTAGAATGATCAGTGCTGGTATTTGAAGTACTAGAAACCTGAGATGACAAACTATCAGAATCCTCAGAAAAATGATCTATACGAATAAGATCAGATCTAGTCAAGCTAAAAGTAGTGGATGAAATAGAAAAGAAAGGTATATGCTAAAGAAAAACAACATGACGAGACACATAAAATTTTTGAGTTATTGGATCAAAACAACGATACCCCTATTTACCTTCACCATAACCAAGAAAGACACAAATAGTAGATCGAGTGGACAACTTGTTGCGTTCAACATGAGGACGAAGAATGAAACAAGTACAACCAAAAACTCTAAATGAAGAATAATCAGAGGCATACCCATACAACTTTTTGAAAGAAGAAACACCTGAAATATGAGAAGATGAAATTGTATTAATCATACCTACAGCAGTAAGAACAACTTCACCCCAAAACTCACTAGGAACAGAAGAAGACAACAAGAGAGAACGAGCAGTTTCAACAATGTGCCTATGTTTTCTTTCAACAACACCATTTTGCTCAGGAGTATTTATACACGAAGTTTGGTGAATAGTTCCATCCAAGGCAAGCAACTCATCAAATTTATTAGAAGTGTATTCCCCACCCAAATCACACCTAAAACATTTGATAACAGTAGAATGTTGAGTTTTGACAAGAGCTCGAAAGGCTGTATATATCTCAAAGAATTCAGAACGATGTTTCATTAAATAAATCCAATAATAACGAGTATGATCATCAATAAAAGAAACATAATATCGAGACCCTCCTTTTGTGGCAACAGGAGAAGGTCCCATACATCAGAATGAATCAAATCAAATGGAGAAGAAGAAACAAAAATACTTTAATTAAAAGGTAAAGCTGAAAATTTTGCCAGTTTACATCCACTACAATCAGAAATATCACAAGTTTGCAAATTTCCTAAAGGCCCTGTGGATGCCAAAAATCTCAAACGAGAAGAAGAAACATGACCTAAATGAGAATGCCATAAATAAAAACTATAAGAAGAAGGACTCAAACAAAAAGAAAATAAATCAACACTAGTAGCAGCAGTAACAACTGACACTTTTAACTCATCCAAAATATATAGTCCCCCCTTCCTACGGCCTGTCCCAATCAGCTTCTGAGACTGTAGATCCTGCACATAACAAGAAGAAGAGGAAAATGTGACTAAATTTTTAGAATCACATAACTGACCAACAGAAACAAGATTTAATGTGAGTTTTGGAATATGATAAATATTAGGGAGAGACAAGTGAGGTGTGACAATAGAATCAACACCTGCTAAAGGCATATGAGTGCCATCAGCAGTCATAACAGGAATAGAAGATGAAGGAGATACAGAAACAAAAGATGAAAAATCTGGAGACATATAATATGAAGCACCAGAATCCAAGACCCATACAGAATATGACATACCTGGAGAACTATGAGGCAACTGACCTCCTGAAGAAGAAAGAGACATAGCTTGTGGCTGTAAGGAGAGAAACTTCTGAAATTGCTCAGCCAAGGTACTAGAATCGGTGAAAGGACCTGATGAAACTATTGCTGCGGTATTAGACTGTGGTGGTTTGTAACCTTGAGGTGGTCTAGGAGCATTAGATTGTGACTGGTTGCTAGACTTCCAAGCTTGAGATTGCTTCTGCGATTGATTCTGCTGTCTTAACTTAGGACATTGAGCCTTCCAATGACCTTTCTGCTTACAGAAACTGCACTCATCGAAGGCAGGCCTTATGTAAGACTTATTCTGATTATGAGAGAATGATTTAGAAGGTACTGCTAGCACAGAAGGATCAGAAGTAGAAAGAATTCTCTTGTCAGAATAAAACTTAAGACGTATCTCTTCAGCCAATAACTCACTGACAACTGAGTCAACAGAAGGAAGTGGAGAACGATGCAAAATTGAACCTCTAAGTCCTTCAAAATCACTACGAAGTGCCATTAAAAACTATACCAACCGTTGTTGCTCTCTACGAGCAATATAGGCACCAAATGCTTTTAATTCAGTTGATTCTGTAAGAGCCAATTGATCCCAAAGATCTGTCATAGCAGAATAAAACTCCTAAATACTCATATTCTTCTGTTGAAGAGCTCGTATGTCATGTTCCAATTGATATTGTTTTGCAAAATTTGATTGAGTGAATAACCTTGACAGATGATCCCAAACCTCCTTTGTTGTCTCATACTTTGCCAACTACGTACCTATAGAATGCTCAACAGAATTGTTGATCCAAGTAATAATTTTTGCATTGTCTGCTTAGGTTTCATAGAAGTTCTAC